GATGGAAATGGTGAAAGGAGCCCTTTTTCCAGGGGTGGACACACACACACACAGGAACTGACGGTGATCACATTGTGAGCACGTGTCAAGCCAAACCGCAGGTGACCTGTCCCTAAATTTGCTGGCAGGAAAGCGATACTTGTTGATATTAGACCTTTACTTGCTAACTGTCACCAAGTGACGTGCGAGCTCGAATTCCCCTCAACCCAATGGGTATATATATATATATATATCTGTATGGTGGTGACATGGCGTGAGACACCAAACACACCGAAACTGCTGCCACCCACACCTCACTGCAGCCATATCCTGCTGCTGCCGCTGCAAGCGCTCTCGCATGAGGGCCACCTGTTTTCCGCTCTCGCATGGGTGGTCCTTTCGTGGAGACTTGGAACGTCTGCAAGCTGAAGAAGCCAGGAACAACAACGCAAAAGGACTGAGTCCCAGAGTTTTATTGGGCATCCAGCAAACCTCCAGTTGAAGGTGATGAGACTGGTGATGAGACTGCGCCAAAAAGGGGGCGACAGTCCGTCAAACCAAATGACGAAGTTCCGAAACTTCGGAGAGCAAATGTTCATCAAACAGTTTCAAATAGCCAAGCCCTGTTGGAATCCTTCCGTACGACTCGTACAACCTTTAAGTCCAAGTTGAAGAAGGGGGACTGTCACCCTCAAAGGCTGTCTGCAGTTGCTCGTCAGTCCCACTGGGCTCCGGTTCCCTTCTTCCACCCCTTCGACCGATGTTCACGCTGTGTCGGAGCGGTGCCGACCCAAAAACCGCTGATTCCGCATGAAAGCAAAACCCTAAAATGACCCAACGCGTGAAGCTTTGCTGAGAAATCATGCACGGTGTTTGCGAATCCAAGGTCCCAGGCCTTTTTTTTTGTCCCAGTACTTCACTCTCAAAACATGGAAAAGGATACACTCAGAGTCACTAACATGGAAGTGGAAAACGCATGGAAATCAACTTTGGGAAATGCTCATCCAAGGGGCCATGTTCCACTTCCCGGATTGTTCCATTGAGCGCTGAGAAGACTTTCTAAATTTGGAGGCCCAGCTGTCGCCTTCCAGTTCATGCTGCTGTTCACGGATCTCGCGGTCTTGTATCTCATCCGATGACTCGATCGGATTGGCCTTGACAACACCCATTTATTCATTGTCATTGGCCACAGCTATCTGATAGGTCTTGTTTCACTGATGGTGTCTCATGCGATTTGAACCTTCACTCCGATCCCTGTGGCCAAAGAACATGATGTCTGGATAAAACCTGAGAAAAACACCACTGGACAGTTTTGATGCTTCTTCATTCTTCTCATTGACCGTCCTGATGGCCATGATGTCGGTGCCCTGCGCAATCCAAACGCGAAGACAACACCGACACCACCGACACCAGCGACGCCCGACCGCCTCAGCCTTGTGCGCCTGTCGCCGGGCCTCCGCTTCGGCCGCCTGGGGCGGGCGCAGCTCGCGGGCTCCGAGAATAGAGTTCAAAGCTGGGCCTTGGGCCCAATCATTTGGACAAACATAGTCTAAGGTTTTTTTGGGGGGTTAGGGTACAGTATTGAAACCCTAAGGTCCAAAGCCCGGGCTTTAAAACTTGGGAGATGACTTAGTTCAAACCTGGTTACACTGGAGTTCAGAGCATTTAGATGGCATGGTTCCCCCATGATGTCCTAAACAGATGAGGGTCCATTTTAAACCACCGACATTGGGGTCTGTGCCATCTACTCTCAATCCACTATAACTAGCCTGTTAATCAGTTGTTGATGGTGTCCGTGCAGATCTTGGTCCGTCCATTTGGGCCTTTTGGGGAAGAATATGCACTCAAAATCGTGGCCTGCTGCTCGGCCAAAAGCCGCTGGCGCTCCTGGACAATTGACGGGTATCGCGCAGCAGTGATGCAAAGTTCGCAAGGACACTCCTAAAGACATGTATCATATTCAGCTGTTGGCATTCAACCTTGAACTCAGCTTTCACAGCACCTTTTTCCTTCTCTTCGTCCGAAGCAAACCATCCTCTGCCTCCTCATCCATCCCTGGGCATCTTCTGCCCTCCCGCGGTATCCTCCCATCACGTCCGTGGAAGCAGCGTCGCGTCCCCCCGCGTCTCGACGCAGGTCGTGGACTGGGGGGCTCTTTTTCTGAAGGTGCTGGGCATCATGATCGTGGCAAATCGCTTTTGATGATATCCACCAGGTGGTGCTTGGGTGTGTGAATTCAGCTCTCATCGCTGCGGGTGGAGAGGCCAAGTGCCAAGCGAAGCTCCTGCAAATACCTGGAGTGATAACGTTGATGGGATCAACCAACAACGGTTCGTGGGGGAAAAGGACGGAAAAAAGGACTACAACTCTATGACTGATGCAATTAACTATAGACGTTATAGCTGATGGCCTGTTAGGATCATCACTTGCAATAGAAATCTTAGGGGTTCAACATGTCTCAAACACACCGACTTCTCACCACCCACCGACCCACCACTCGTTCTCATGTCACGTCACTCAAAGACTTCTGTGGCCTTCGCTCGTTCCTCGGGTGGATGCTTGTCAGGATGCCATTGCATCGCCAGCTTTCGGTATCCCCGCAAGCGTTCGCCGGAGCGCTCCAAGGACGCCAATCGCTCCAGTTCCGTGCGCACAGATGCTTTGTCTTCTGCATAGCGCTCATCCTCCCCGAAGGGTGTCCATGGCCTTGGATTTTCCATCACTTTCTAGAAAGCCTTCTTAGCATGAAGAAGCCATTTCAAAACCTTGTGAGAGGTCAATCATAACTCAATAGCTCGTGGGGGGGCCAAGACCGGCCATTTTTGGCACCCAGTCGCCTGCTTGTGCCGAGGTTCTCAGCGGCGGTACAATTGTAATCAGTTCTAGTTTAAGCGGTCGGCTTCATCACCGGTCCACGGTTTGGGCCATTTGCGCTTCTGATGTTCACTTGTTGCACTTTGCACAAGTTGGTGCATGCTCTACAGTTTCTGGCTCTCATGTTGTACAGTTCAATTGGAGAGATATGATATCTTTAACGGTTGTATAGAATCTTGTGTGATCCAAATGGTCCGGTCCGGGGTAATGGACAACGCAAAAGGATCGTAAGAGGACAACAAAAACATCCTGCATCACCTAGCCACATCCCAATTAAGATACCTAAATGACCTTTGCTGAGTTTGCCAGTTCCTGAGTTTGTGCAGCTGGATTAGAATCGCTCAAACCCAATCAACATGGTCCCAGGGGCCGGTCATGTGCTGGTACGTTAGCAGCCAGCCCTGGCACTTTCACATCGATCGTCCCGCGCCAATTGACACTGGTCCTGGTCATGAAGAAATCCACGCGATCTGTCTTGTTGACCGTCTCATTGCGGCTCTCGCTGGACGACGCGTTCTGCTCGCTTCGATGGTCCGACTCTTGGGGCTGAAACTGTATGCCTTCGGCTCCATACTTGATCCGTGGCATGTCCTTATTGATGGAATCCCCCGCATGGTAGCTGGTGACCGTAATGGTCACCGGCCCTCCGTGCCGGCCCTTCACCCGAGGATCGGCGGGGATCTGGATCGAGGCGCCATCGGGCGCCTCCACGTGCGCACCCGACTGGATCAAGGTCTGGGGATCCACTTTCCGCAAGGAGATGGAGACCGCAGGGGAATCGTACACCACTGGAAGGCCATCCTGAAGGAGACGAAAGAATGGGAATGGCCTGGAAAAGAACAAGCACATCATTATCATTATAGAACATCAGTTGTCGCAGATTTGGGGAGATCAACATATAATACAATATACTATACAGTAATCGACATAACATATCATAATATATAACTTAAAGCTCAAGAAGTTGAAAAAAAAGAGATCAGGTTTGTACAGCAAAGTAAAGCAAAGCATCAACCTCAGCCCGCATGGCTAGTGCAGCCTCTGCTGCAATGACTTCAGCTTTCAAGGCCTCCTGTGACGTTGATCTAATTGGACTGAAGAGTCTCAACGCGACCGGGGGATGTTCTCCGCTTTGGCGGTCTCCCTCCCCTGTGGCGCCCTGGCTACTCTCGCTAGCATCATCACTTGTGGATGTTGCATCCTCTAGGCTCAGTGCAGGGAAAAGCAACCATCCAAGCATCACCAAGTGGAAAGCCAAACAGCCATGGGCACCAGGCCAAAGCACATGGTGCCCAAGCCGATCCCACGGTTGGCACGTAGTGGAGCCCTGAAGCTTCCGGCGAAGAGATGCCATTTGAGCCAAACTTGCCCTTGGCGCCGAACCGGAGTAACCCTCAAATACACTGATCTCGCTACTGATCTTGCAGCTAAGATCCCAGATATCGTGGTTTTGATATCTCGCAACCAAGATCTATCTACTGTTTCTCAGATATCTTCGTGTCCCCAACTCTATCAAAATCAAGATCCTGGACTTGAGACCAACTCTATCGGATCTATCGGCGAACAAGTGGCGAACTTGTGGCCGCCAATTCGAGTATATTCGAGTGGAGACCGCTTTTGGGCTCTCTGACATGACGACCATCCGGATTTTTCGAGGTGATTTTCCCCGTGGATTTAGAAACCACTGTATATCACAACCCACTGCTGTTTGATCAGGCCATAGCAACGGATATTTGGAAGGTCATGGAAGACCAAACGAACAACCAGCTCACTTCTTCTGCCGTCCACGTCCACAGTTTTTCTTTAACCGCCTCTGGTGTCCAAAATCCGAGCACCTGGACATCCCGCATCCCAGACCCGGCAATGGCATGGTTCACTCCAGGATCTGTACGCTTTTCGGTGGCCCCAGGTGGTCTTGAAATGGAAAAATCCGAAGAAGAAGCGCTACAGTGGCTTCAGAGTAGATGGCACAAACCCAAAGATATTTTTTATATTGGGCTCCATATGGGCTCCACTATTGGGGGATTGTGCCACCTACTCTGAGACCACTACTGACACCACTGTATATGGAAGTCTTTGGCACCAAAGCCTCATCTACGACGAATTTCATGGCCGAGGACTATTTGTTGCCATGGCCCGGAAAGTTGATCATGGACTCTGGGGACCCCAGGCATTTTAAAAGAAGTGACCTCTTTTCACCTCTTAGATCGCTCTTTCCATACCTTCTCTTCCGGAAGAAAACAAGGCGCCTGGCACCTGGTGCCGGAAGAAAACAAGGCACTGCTGGCACACAAGCTCGACCATCTTCACTGGAAAAATAATCTCACGTCTTCCACAGGGCTCCATAGACGGGTCACATAGACCATTAAATAGACCCAACCGGTAGTTGTACACAAGACTATACACGGAACTGTGGTCTTCACTTTGTAGCTTCATTGGATCTTCACTGCGATACAGACAACAAAAACACAACCAAAAGGGAACCACACCCAACCACACCGAGTGCCGTCCTTGCTCGCGGCGGCGCGTGCGGCTTCCGCGCGCTGCGCCGCCAAAGCCCTGAAGCGCTTCCGGGCAAAAGCCTCGGATCAACGGCCTCTATCTGCACAGGTGTGGTGAGTGGAGGTGCGGTGGGCTTACACAAAAGAGTAGTTTGGGGGGTTGGACCTCCTAACTATTAAGAGCCTTGAATTCAAGGGCAGGACTTGAACCCACTTGAAGGCTCAACAGACTCAACAGACCTGTCAGGAGCGAACATTGCTCAACATTCAACCATGATGCCCCTTTTCAATCTAGTGTGGCCGCTGATACAAAAAAGGCTCAGTCCTACCCTGGGCAGCTCACCAAATCACAAGCTGCCTGGGCAATCACCAAAGTGATCGATCATGTTTCTTTGGAGATGTGTTATATAGATCATTATAGATCTGCTTCTTAGGATGCAGCATGCCTGACGACATACTGGGCAGCCCAAGCCTCGGACTCCAAACCTTGGGTTAACAATTCACCAAACCTATCCAAACCCACTAAACTCAAAACCTGGATAGGGATAGGTTGATAGGGATAGGGATAGTTAGCAGATCAACCGAACTCAAAACCTGGGCTGATCTGCTTGGCCCAAACCCTTGGCCCCCCTCTTCTCTGAGGTGCCCGGGCCCCTCGGACACGCGCCTGTACCTTGATGACCTTAGGGACAGTTGAAGCCCCTAGAACGTTAAGTGAAACAAACTGGCCACTTGGTGTAGGTCAATGGCGTGTCCTTTGCTGTCACTTCCAACATTGTGGATTCATTTTATCAGCCTTTGCCTGGAATGCGCCCGGACCCCTCACAGCCTGTGTGGTTTTCCCATGATTTCCCATGTCTTTCCTGCACATCTTGCCGAAAACTTGGTCGAACACTTCCAACCTTAGTAACAACAAAACAAACAAACAAACAAACAAAACAACAAACAAACAAACAAACAACCAAGCAAGCAAGCAAGCAAACAACAAACATCAAACAGAATAAACAACATCTTCCAACAAACAACAAACATCTTCCAACCGACAGTCAGCCCTGACCAAAACCGCTTTTAGGCACCTAACCCCGGTGTTTCTCGTCGCCATCTGCTCCAAGCGGCGGCCCGTTCGCGCCATTTGGCCTCGACATCCTTCAGGACTGACTCCTTGGTGGAAAAAAACGCCGGCGGAGTCGTTGGGTTGAACGGCGGACGACGTTCAGTGAGGGACCCTCGGAGTCGTTGGTGAAGAAGCATACATCGAATACATCGAATACGTGCACGAGTCAATTTCCCAGGGGAAGTTCAGGATTTGGGTGTGGCCAGAAAGTAAATCCACTTCGGGATCGCAATTCTCTGCGACTCCAGAACACGTGTCTATACACCTTCCTTTTCTACTTACATATAGTATACACATCTATATACACCATCCATTCTACTTGGGCTCCAACTGCGGGTCTGTACTGTGTACGGATATTTGCCTCCAACTCCATCTGGAAAAAACCAACGCGGTAACCGAGCGTCGGCCACGGCCACCTCTTTCGCTCGGTCAGGCTTTTCCTTCTCCCTGGCAGTGGATTGGTTGGGACGCTGAAGTGAATGCCACCGCCCGTTTTTTTCGGAGTTCAAGGTCAAGGTCCTTTCAATTTTCACCTCGGACAAGTTCCTAGAATTCCAAACCTGGTGTATCATGTGGATCCACGTGGTGTTATTGTGTCTAGTAGATGACACGACTACCGCTACAGCATGAAAGACAGAAACTGGTAGATCCTGTTGGACCAGGTAGGGGACCTTACATCTTTGGCATGCCGTCAGTAAACGTGTTGCAGTACCTTCACTGCCTTGCACCTGCATGTCAATACAGGATTTGGCGAAAGATCTTCTGACAAACATGAAGCGGAACACCCACAATTTGGAAAGGCATCTCCCCTTTTTGAGCACTCGGGTATTTGCTATACTCTGCGACCCGATGACCTGGGACAAAGCGACTGGGACATGAGCAATTAGGAAGAGCGCCTGAAATCATTCAGGGGACTCTGAGAACACCTAGAAAGGTTGCAACCCTCAAAAGGCAAAGAGATGCAAAGAGCAAGAGGCACCCCTGTCGGGCTGTCAGGGGGGTCAAAGTAACGGAACCACACAAAAAGGCTTAAGGACCTTAAGGAGTGGCCCGATCCATTTTCCATCCTTTGCAAAAGTGCCGCATCTCTTTGAGATGGGGCACTGGCGGCACTGGCGCCTCCACTAAACGACCGATGCACCAGCGCACCAGCGACCACAGTGAGCCTCCTTCCGTCCTTGCACCTCTATGAATCCTTTTGGGAAGATGCAAGCAAAAGCTAATTGTGCCATGCAAAAAAAACAAACAAACAGAATTAAACACATATAATATGTATACCTCAGCCCTCAGCCAAAACTCATGGCATGGAACCAGGTAGGATGCTATAGAGATTGTTGATGACACTTTCTTGACGAATCACTCACCAGCTGGAGCCGCACTGCCGGCCGACGTCTCTGCTGGGGATTGGGTGCATCGGAGAGCCCTGCAGAGCGGGCAGCTGAGGATTGAGTGACCCCACTCTGCTGGGGATTTGAGAAACGCATCTTCCAACTGCACGAGGCCCGTGCGTCTTCCATCCGCCATCGATGGATGTCTTAGAGATCATGTGCACGTTGTGAAAGTTGCTGTCTCACAGTCTCACGAGAGAAATAGCCTAATTGCTTTTATTCAAACAAACATGTTTTTTTATTTTTCGTCTATCCAGCGGGCATGCAAACAGCTTCTGCTTGCTCCTGCGAAAAGGGGAACATGGCACAAGTGCAGCCAGAAACTTAAATTACACCCTTTCTACTGTCCTCGTCTACATTAGCCATCCAGAAACTATTGGAATCTAGATCCGGGTCATGCTTACTTGCAAGAATCACATGTTCTATACCCAATGAGCCAAGTGATGCCTGCTAAACTAACCAAGCCAACATACCTCTTTTTAACGTGCAGCCTTCCCGCATTGAATGTATTACATTCAACCCACCGAACCTCAAGTGAACACCAAGTCACCAACTGCAAGAGACGATGGTTCAAACGAAGGAACACCCGTGCGTCCTTGGCTGGGCGCGGCATCCCCGTTGGTGTCATCGATGAATTGGGGGTGAACCTCCAAATTATACAGTGGTTTCAGAGTAGATGGCACAAACCCCATGACGTCCCTTAAATGGGGGTCCATATAGTAAATCACCTTTTGGGGCTCTACTCTGCAACCGCTGTAACAACATTGCCAACGAACTCATGAGCCTCATTGCGCGTTAGCACGATTCAGCACGACGGCGTGTCCCTCAGGGAAACCACGCTACGTGCAGCGGCGTGCAGCTACGCAAAGGCCTCCTCTGCAGCAGCAGCAAAAGCTATGCCTGCCTGGTCTGGAAGCGGACAGGGGCAGCCAAAAAAATATGGATTTAAAGCTGAATCGTGTTCTACAAGTGCTCTTCGCTCTGTCAGTGTGCACAAGTTGTTCAAACTCATCTTGGACTTCAGGATTCAAGCTTTCATTAAAGAATAGATGGCTAATAAATGCTAATAACATACATGACATACATATTATATTACATAGATATTTATCCACCTCAAACCTCCATGATTGGCCAATTTCGCGCCACCCCCACCTCTTCCAGCTCTTGATCCCTCTGACCCAACAACCCCAAAAAACACGACGCGACTGAACACGGCTGGGGTAAAGAAAACACGATAAACCACACTAGAAAAAAACAGAAACGCGTTCTTCACACCCTTCGACGCTACGGGAGCCGGCCTTACCCCCCGGGAAGGCGATGATCACCCGCCGGAAGCGGCCACGAAAGTCCCGCAGGGCCCGGCCGAAGCTGGCACCTACCTCGTCGGGGCTGTTGTAGAAGACGCCTTAAAACGGCGGCACGCGCGGGTGGGCGGTGCTTCCGAAGATAAAGAAGTTTGGATGTAGGAGCTCCGTGTGGGAAAGCTGGCGCCTGCTGAAAGAAACTTGATGAACTTCGTAGCACTGCTTCCATGCTGGAGTGAAGCTCCTAGTAGCGTCCGTTGTTCCTAGTAAGGCCAGGAGCCCCTAGTAGCTTCTTGTTCCTAGCAGTAAGAATGCTAGGTTCGTAGCGATGACCTTTGTTCCGTTCGCTTCCATCCTGGAGGGTGGGGGGGTGCAACGACTGAAGAGCCGCGACATGCACCCATTGATCCATGTGGCCACAGCCAGCATCTGGGACCACCAGGGAGGTCACCTCAGGGTTGCAGGCGGCGGCCTTCAGCACGGCCAGCCACTTCCGGTCCAGCTGTTGCCTGTAACCTGGCAGTTTTTGCAGCGGTGGTGGAAAAAGTCACATCATGAATAGGTACCCAATTTGTATGCCTTAAATAGGAACCTAAACCTAACGAACGTGTCTGTATTGCTGGCGAATCGATCACTTCAGCATTTGATTCTGCTTAGCTTGCCTACCTCGGAAGCTGACAAAAGCCTCATGAACTCCGTGTATGACCACTGCCCAGCGGGGCCTGCTTCAAATCTTGAACCAGAATCGGTTACAGTTATGGGCCACCTACTTACTATCATCCCACATGTTGATTGATGTTAAGCGGATCTGTCGCTTCCCAACGGCTCCGGAACAAACCAACCAACAAAAACGACAACAACTTCAACACATCAATGGCTTCACATCACTCCTGCCAAACAAAAAGAAAAAAACACACACGCACACCCCGCTATTCCACGGCGATCTCGCCGCCTTCGGGTTCGGGGTGGGCGTCCACCGGCGAGTCGTTCATCTTCTCATTGCGGTTGGGCATGGCCACCGAGACCACGGCGCTGAGCAGCGTGACTTGGTCCCGGAAGGTGTAGCCCTCGTTGGTGCCCTGACCTGAAAAAAAGCGAAGTGGCAGGGCGGGAAGCATTCAGAGCCTTTTAGTTCGGGAACATGGGCCAAAAAAGGACGTGAACTTGAAAGCGGAGTCACTGGTGAACTTGAGGTTTGGAGATCTCTGGAGCCTGGTGGGTACTAGTGGGTACTTTGAGACACGTGAAATACGATGTGTTTGAACCTTTGAACCAGTGCAGGATTTGTTCCCAAGGTGGTTCAAACCTAGTGCCCAAAGCATCCTCTCTCCATTCATCTTTATGTACACAAAGAGATGATTGACTGCAGCACTTGAGTGAAATCAGTGAAATCTGCCAAGAGTAGCATTTGGTATTTGGTAGTTCAGTTCGTGCTTGAGGGGTCCTCACTGTGTTGCCAGGGTTTGGCAACAAAGTACATAACCCTGTCACTGCAGCTTGTCCTAAATGCAGATGCAGGAATCACGCAGAATCAATTCCATCTTTGCTCCTTCCACACCCTCCACCATGCTCCATGTTGTCAGGGTGTCAATCTTGGAGCCCTCCCACCTCCAAATCACCCCAGGATGGTCATCCAGGTCATCCAGGTGGCGAAAGACCTCCACCTTCGGCGAGAGCAACACTCCGTCGTCAGGCAAATGGGCCACCCACTCTTGGCCATCTCGACGTTTGGCCGGGCGCACCCAACTGGGCGCCTTGACCCTCAGGTGGCTGATCTGGTCCGTTCCGGTGACTGATCTGGTCTGAGCTTGGTGATCTTCGACTGTGGGAATCAACCATGGGAACGGGTGAGGACATCATCATCACTGACACCCAAATGAATGAAGATATCAACAAAGTGCATGAAACACAAGACTTAAGAGTACAAATAAAGGGAAGACCGCCTGTTTGTAGACACAAATTCTCCAAGCCACCTATTTCCCACTTCCATGATTATTTCAGGGAGTGCAAGGTATAGGGCTCAAGGTTAGGGCTCATGTTTTTGATGTACAGCCTGCTGGAAACCCGTTACAGCAATTGCCTCAATGGTTTGTTGATGCGCTTGAGCCATTTGACCTGCGACGTTCGATTTCAACCGCTGCGATGGGTCCGGACAACTGTCCGCATGCTCGTCACCGGCGTATCGCCGTCGGCTTCGCTACTCACAAGGAGTGGATGAACAAGTCGCCGACATCCATGTGGCAAGAAGCTACGAACGGAACAAAGGGCATCGCTACGAACGGAGAGAGCAAGGACGCTACGAGCGGAACCATACGCTGCAACCGTCTCCCATGTTTTTAGAAAACACCCGTGCCCTGCCGAGCTTCTGGGCAGCTTCCGCCAAAGCGATGCCCTTCTCCAGGGACTCCTCGGTTCAGGACATGGAAGAGCCCAGGCTCCATGTTCCACTTCCATGCGTGTGAATGGGAGGATGCACTTTCAGGCAACAAAATTCATGCGAAACACTGAGTCAAAGACGGTTCAAAACAATACCCGAAGCATCCCAAGAACATTGAATCAGCGAATGCTCTGACCACTGACGACACTAAAATCCTGGACAGGTCTAATTACGTTGAACATGTGGCTTGTTTTGCTTCAAGTACCCTGAACCTTCCTCCAAAACTCACACCCCCAAAGGCTATGCCTCTTTCCAACAAGAACAAACGCAATAAAGAAGAAACAACAGAAACAAAATGACACAACAACAACAACAACAACAACAACAACAACAACAACAACAACAACAA